TTAAATTTCTCTCTCTCTTTTCTTATAATACACAAGTACTCTTTCAAATATGGCTGACCTATGAACCTAAATTTTATACTACTATAAAATTTTATATAAAAATTAGCCGTAATCATTAGACACAGCTTTGTGTATATTATATTCTTGAATACATGCCTGCAATTAATACTAAGAATACTATTGATAAAATTCGTGATATAATTAATAATGAAAATACTGTTTAAGCTAAAAACCGATTTGAATCTTTTTTTCATTATAGGGTAACATGAGCCAAACAATTTTCGTTAGAAATATACAATTATGCTAACTTGACACATCAGATAGAAAAATATTTTATCGTCATCATCGGCTATGATAAAAGATTTTTACGCTTAAGATTTTGGATTATGATAAAGTAAACAGGACCTATTTGTCTAAGGGAAAGGAAGACTTCATGGTAGATTTTTTTTTGTGCGAAAAAAACTGTTAATTCACAATCAATTGTACTTATGGAAAACCCCTAAACCTCCCATGCAGCCGCTAGAATTTACCGGTGCTCAGCTATCTTACCGCTTGGAGACTAGTTGGCTTTCTGAACTTACGCAATATCTATCTGAATTTGAATATTTGCATAAAAAAACGAGCAAAATAAAATGACACATTGTAAATAGTACATTTTACTGAAATCAAACTTTCTTTGAAAAAGGAAAATTAATTGTAAGGAATAAGATGGATGCATTTAATTAAACGGCGGGCAATAACAGCGCTGATCATATGTTTCGTATAGGAAATCATTTTCTTCGTGTTATCGTATAACGGAAAATATCCACAGATTATATTTTACAGTTTTTAAGAAGTCATGGGTTATCTGCTTTAAGAGAACACCTTCGTGGGCAATTTTCTAAATAAAATTGGCTTGAATTCACGTTACGCATCGAGAAAAAATCATAAAGACCACAAGCAGCTAAACTGTTCGGTTGCCAACAACAAAATACCAACATCCAGCAATCTTATTCACTCAACTATAGTGAACTTAAACTAATGTTTGTATATTATTAGTAGTATTAAAATAACGAAAATATTTATTCTAATAAAAATTTTTGTTTGAATATCCTCCCTAGTAAGGTATTTCCTTTGGTTGGAGATTTGTCAACAATAAATGCTATGTTCAAACAAGACATTTATTTAGAGCATAATGCTTCAAAAATGTATGCTGGGATCCCTAGAAAAAAAAAATATCGCCGGAAAATATATCTCCGAAAAAATATTTAATTATTCATATTCTTATGATTAATTATTAAATAATTAATAACTTTTATAATTATTAAATGAAATGCTTATTTATACTTTACCAAATGTACAGCAACACTCTTTCTTTACAAAAATACCATATTGAATAAATTATATTGTAAGCTAATAAGTAACAACATTGCTTTGTTTAATTAAGATACAATAACAAGCCGAACAAACATTAAATTGTTTGAAGTCAAACAACAAAAAAATCAGCGTTATATTTTCAAATTTTCACAATCTAATTTTCATTATATCTTCTCTCGTTCATTTGCGCTTTTGCAGCTGAAGATGATGGTTCCGTAAAACCATCGAAACTAGTCCTGTGAAAATTTGAAAATATAACGCTGATTTTTGTTCTTTCACTTCCAAATTAATTGCTTTGTTTGTTATTAATATGTCTCATCTTCCTATTTCAGATAAAATTTACTAGTGTTTCTTGGACAGGAAAGCAAGAATTTTTAATTTGAATCCATAAATTTATGATACACTGAAAACGGTTTCATGTTATAATTCCCTTTCTGAATATCTTGAATGTATATGAAAAAGTAAAATGCAAATTTAATATTAATATTACCACCCTTAAAAACACCCAAATATTTCGTTTATTACTCTCTTAAAACTACGTAATAATTAAGGAAAAAAGAAATTATTTAAAATAATTATTAGTTGCCTGCAGTTGAAGAATAGAATATAGGAAAATGCAGAAGGTTTTAAAGATTTTTAATTAATGACAAAAATACAGAAAATCGGAAATAATACGAAATGTTTCAGCAATATCTCAGAAGGAATGAAAATTGCACCAGATATTTGTCAGAATATAATTTTAGTGATAGCAGTTTAATCAGTCTGCATTGAAATTGAAATTCCGGTGATAATCAGTGACATACAGATTTAGGTTACTTAGGTTAAAAATGCGTAATAATTTAAAATTTAACCGGGTAAATTTTAAAACCAATTTATTTGAAAACTATCAGCTTCGCTGCGAGCCTTCGTCTGGCTTTTAAATGTACCGGAAAAATGGCTGAAGGGAACTCCAAACGTTAAATTTAAAAACTGCGTAGGATTTTACTCTGCAGAACAACTTCATAAAAAAAGTTATTACGTATAACAAAATTACAATGAAATAAGCAATGTCCCTTAATACAAATATTAATTATCCTAATAAATAAATTAAATTAACCAAATTCCCTTTGCAAAATCTTAAGAACTCAAATGGTATAAAGGAGGTTAATAACTTTGTTTCCTAAAAAAATCAGTCAAAACTTTTCAATATCTTAAAAACAGTGAAATGAGCAATAAATAAAATAAAGGAATGCAAAAAAAAAAAAAAAAAAATTCTGAAAAGCAAAGTATAATTAATGATATTTTATCTTATGTTTTCAAGGGAAGAAATTACAATGAAATAAGCTATATCCCTTAATACAAATATTAATTATCCTAATTAAAAAATTAACCAACTTTCCGTAGAAGAACAAAAATCATGTAAAACTTTTCAATATCTTATAAACAGTGAAATAAGCAAAAAAATGACATGAAAGCAACTCAAAAAACATAAAATTCCGCGCAGAATTTTACTCCACAGAACAACTTTATCAAAAAAAAAAAAAAAAAAAAAAAAAAAAATCAAAAATATTATATTTATATAAAAATGACAAGAATGAAATATGCCAATCTCTTAAAAACAGTGACATAAGAAATACGATGAAAAATTGTTGCCAAACCCATATTTCTAAAAGAATGAAACTACTCAAAATGATGCGATTTCATCAAAAATCTATCAACAACAATAAGACAGGAAAATTGTTGCCCAAATCACATTTTTAAAGATGTGAGATGTGAGAAATGTACTCGGAAGCTTCATTTAAAGAATCTTTTAAAAATACAAAATATTATCATTTTTCCAAAATTCTTTTTGTAAAAGCATTCGCAAGGATGAAAGTTTAACGTGTCCAAAAATCAAAGAAAAATAATCTGTACATTTTTAAAAATAAACTTTTTTAGAAAAAATCCCATTGAAAAAGTGTTAAGCTCCCTTTGTTAAATAAATTCGTATTTAATCGATTTATTGAAACACGAAATTTATTTTAAGTTCGTAAAATAGCTAAGTGCCTACGTTTCATGACGATGTGAAAATGGAGTGTGTAGAGTAAAATCTCACTTTCCTATAGCCCATTATGTTTCAAAATGACACGATTTCGTTACAAAACATGAAATAAAAAAAATTCGAATTCGAATTTCGAAAAAATCGCTTCGAAGTGCACTGGCTCTTGTGTAGATGTACCTATGTACCAAATTTCGTAGCCGTGGGTCTATTAGCTTACGCGCAGCGCGAACGAAAGGCGCGCACACACAGACAGACTCTTTCTTTTATTATATGTAGAGAAGATATGTAGAGATAAGATTGTTTAAGGGAAGGAAACTTTCAAGTTTCGCAGCTGTAGCCTGCGGCATTAAGACGATCATCACGGAGAGTCTAGCCTTTTGCAATTCTCTGGAGAGCTCACAGGTACTGAACAATATATAGCAATCAATCTCACTTAGCGGAATCATTGAAGTAAAATTCTGGGAGGGATGGGAAATAACAAAAGAACTGCTTGACAATTTTCAGAGGTTTAGGGTTATTTTCGCCACTTTTTACGGGAAGTTCGGTCCAAAACTAGCGACAGTTTAAAGAGATTCGCAGATAATCACTCGACAGGCTAAGGGTGAACTCAACTACTCTGTAGAGTTGATGCGTTGTCGAGTGCTTACGCCTGAACCCAAATTGATAGGGTATGAGGATCTTCTGCTCATCCAGGAAGATGTTTAGTCTATGTAGAATAACTGCTTCCACGATTTTGCTAATTGAGCTTAGCAAACTGATTGGTCGGTAACTCTCAGGAGCAGTCGCAGGCTTGTTGGGCTTTAGCAGAGGGACAATCTTGGCAGTTTTCCAACAAGTTGGTATTGCCATACAAGTTGGTATATATAAGTATTGCCATCGTAGTATGATATTCACTAACTTGGTGAAGTAGAGTATTATCTTGACAGGGAAGTGCTTGATCATCTCATTTGTGACCCCGTCTACTCCAGGGCTCTTCCTTTTCGTAATTCGCATGATATAGAGACAGACCTCCGATGGCATGGCTGAGATAATGTTGTCTGTGCATGGCTGTGTTGTAAAATTGGAGTGGAAGTCAGCAATAAGCTGTTCAGTGTGTGAATCTGAAATGTTGTTAATGCAGAACTGAGATTCCAGATGCTGAGCTAAAAGTTCTGCTTTCTCAGTTCCGGTGTAATGGATCCGTTGAGGGCCGTGAAGGGGCGGAATGGCGTTATAGCATTTTTTGTACCTCTTCACTGCTTTCCATAAGGAAAGTCCAGCGATCTTGTGAGAGTTTATTTGTAAGAAACTTGACCGCTTCGCACAGGCGGTTGAAGTTCCTTTTATCATCACGGTGTCTGGTGCGTTGATACGCTCGTCTTGCAGCATTTCTCTCTTTAATCAATAATCTGAGCTCTTGAGGCTTGTGTTTCATACCAGGTTTAACTTCAACTTGTGGTTTCCGGTAGTAAGCTTCGCCGCCTGGCTACTCAATAAATGTTTACATTTGGAACTACTAAGATGGAACAACAGCGCCATCTAGTGAACGCGACATTTTAGGACCGTTTTTCTACTAGGCAGTTTCACTTCCTTGATTATATTCCGTGACCATGGCCAACTAAACTCGGTAAAACAACGCTATGGCTTGTGTATTTAGATAACCGTATTGCTTTTTATTATTTCTGTAGATCAATTTTGAAATCAGAGTATTGAGCAGTTTCTTTTTTAGACAGGAACTGTTTTTCAATAAAAATTGGCTATTCATGGATGAATTTCTGAAATTGATCTTTAATATGGGAATACATATATATTTTTAGTGTTTAGGGATGTGAATAGAAATGTTTCAGGTAGTTTATTATCAGGTGTATACATCCCATAATTTGCTCAAAATAATAATAAAAAAGAGTATGAAGTGAAATTGTGGTGCTAGTATTTATTCCGTTTTAGCTGGAAAACAAATGCAGGTTGAAACGTTTTGCAAAGTCGATAGAAATCTGTAGTATGTGTCGGGAAATGAATGTTTTCTATTGTGAACTTAGTTATTCCTTAAAGAAAATTAAATCAAAATTTTCCGTGCTTATTGCTTGTGTTATCCTCTTGCTAATTTAATATTTAACATATAAATAATCATATATAATTAATATTTCCATTTAATACTTACATTTGGGGTTATTCCGTTTTCTCCATAATTTATCATTCGTGAAACTTTCAAATGTTAAATCTAACATCTGGTATTTTCGCTGCTTTCTTATAAATGAAACGGAATAATATTCAAATATTGGTTATGAAGGAAAAGTGCCATTTTATTTTCTCATTATTAAAACTGAATTTAGATCTCATGCATTTACTTGAAAGAAAAATGTATTGTGGGTAGCAGTGAGACCGTTTTTACTTTGTAATATTTCTCAGTATTGGCTTAGTAAAAATTTCACTTTTTTAAAATGAGAAAAGTTTGGTAGTATCTAGCATCTGTTCAAGAAATCTGCATATATATACATATATTTATTGACATAATTATAGAATTATTATTTATGTTGTCTTATATATAAAAATAAGTTACTATTGTTCTAAAAAATCGGAGACAAAATATGTATAGCAAAATGTAATTTTTATATCGAAGAATTTGATGTTGATTGTACCTTTCAAATAACTAAAAGAACATAATCGTTATCAATTCTCTCTCGCAATGACACTTCTGTAATTGAAATTTTGTCCCCTTCAATTCACAGCATTGGGAAATAATGTAGCTTGGTGTGGATGAAACTGAACACAAATTTGTGATGCATTATTTTCAAAAAACAGCTGTAATATTCTTGGACATTTATCTTGTGATAAAAAGTATGATTTTAATGGTTCATATATTTAAAAAAATATTTTCTACAGCTGGTAAAAGAGCTAGCCATCGTGTTTTGCTGTAACCAATAATTCTTTTATATTCGATTTCTGCGCTTTCACAAAAATCCTTCAAACTTTCGACATGCACAGTATATATGTATAAAAATACAAATATATTTTTGCAATAATATTTTCAACATCTACTGGAAGTAAGTCAGATGCTGTTTGAATAGTGTTGTGTAGAATGTGCGATGCACAACCTACTCGACTAATTTTTTGGTTCAAACATTTGTTTAAGTTTCGTAAAAATGTTATTGATGCCTAGAGCTTTTCCAGCAAAATTTGTGTTAGCATCAACAATAAAATTATTGCATCACAATAGGCAATAATTTTCTTGTTCAAATTATTCTTTTTTAAAATAGTACTTATTGAATCAAAAATTATTTCTGAAGTTTCAGCCGGCAGCTGCTGAGGTAATATAGTGGTTAGGGGAGCCTGTCTACGATACCGAAGGGCCTGGGTTCAAACTCCGGAGAAGGCATGGTAGTAACTGTCTGTTCCTTTGTAGGAGGCAATGGTGGTCCACCTCTTAGGTGTCTCCATAATAAAGAAACCGCTACATCTGGCATTAGTATAGATTAATGGACTCTGTTACAAAACTGCAACTGTTCACAATCTGCCATTGGAAAAAGAAAAAAAAAGTTTCATCCGGCAGTGAAACAAAATCTAATATTTTAATTTTAATTTTGGTTTCTGGATCAAAAAGTCTGACAATTGTGGGAAATAATTTTAAATCTTTGTTGTTGGAAGCATCATAATATATGGATATAAATGTGCATTTATCTAATTCTTTCTGCAATTGTGAAAATGAATATGGTGAAAAAGTATTACAAATAATTGCTTCTGTTTTTGTTCTTGCATATGCAAATTTTTTATCGTACAATGTTTTAATCATTTGCGACATACAGTCAATTTATCTGAAACTTTGATTGTGGTTTATGGTATGGAAAGCAAATAGCCCTTCAGCTAATGCTAGCTGTTCCTCCGTTAACAATACATATTCCTTGACGAGACGTAACGACAATGATCGAATACCACCTAACTCGTTACATTGCCTAATTTAGTTTACTCTGCATGCATTTTATGTGTTTTTTTAAATTTCTTTATATTCACTATCATAATTAATAAATAATAAAATAAGAAATGCAGATGTTTTCTAAAAAGTGGAACATTTTAAAAAATCGGCAGGACGCGGGACAGTCCTCCAAAAAGTGGGATTGTCCTGCTAAAATTGGGACGTGTGGTCACTTTATATTTGTATAAAAATTTAGATTCAAGTAAGAAATTTAAAAGCAGATGCTGTCATTTTTATGGAATGAAAATTATGTGGCTGTAGTGTAGAAATGGGGGGCCCCTTTGATTAGTGACAATTTTTTGTAAAATTTTGGCGATGAGTATATATGTATGCTTAACCCTTTGTGCTCGAGGCGCTTTTCTGTGCACACTGTCCATTCTGAACGTTCAGTGTCTTCTGTACAATCACTTTGGCTTCCAGATTCACTATCGATTATTCGGATTTTTTGTCTTCTTGCTCCTCTAACGTTGTAACTATCTTTATCACTTCGTCTTCGTTCTCATGGGCAAGCTGTCTATGTAGTGATGTAATTTCGTTCGTTTTTGCCAAAAAATTAAACTCATATTCATTAGAAGTAACCTCTTCATCGTGTTCTATACTTATTGGGCTCAGTATCTTTGAAAGAAATACTGCGATCGGCAAGAAGGTTGAGTTCGATATGATGTCGAAGACAGAGTCCTACCCACGGTTGCGAGTATTTTTGAGATAAGACATTTAATCACATAAACATTGCAAAGACAACCTTTATTTGAGATAAGACATCCTTATAGCTATTCAGACACCTCGTAATATGATCTACAAAAGGCCAAGTAGATCTCTCAAGCGATATTCCTTAGGTCAAACACAAATAAACACATCAATTCGAATGGTGCCTGTCAGGCACTGCTCCAGTTATCGCATCACATGCAGTGGTGCCTGAGAGGCACCGCTCGAGTGCAAAGGGTTAAATGTTTCATATAACTTTCTATTAATTCTGGTGATTTTTCTATTGTCATTTAATATTTGCTTTTAATCTTTTAATGTGGTAAAATTATATTTTATTTTATGAATAACAATATTTTCTGTTTTCTTGTGTAAGTTAATGGTATAAAATCTGAGATTTCCATTTAATCAAAGCAGATTAAAAATTCGGCCAATCATATATCAGTATTTCATTCGTAATAGGTGAGGAGCAATTAACAGATCTGTGAATAAATATTGTATTTTTTTGAAAATAAGTCTTTTTTTTTTTTCCCCCTATATTTTTGTTGTAAAATTTGTTAGGCTTTTATGATTAGGTATTTTGCAATTGCAGAATGAAAGGAAGGAATTTGATTATCATGTTACGTCAAGTAATCCCACTGTTTAAATCCTAAATGAACTACTCAGACAATTACCATATAGATATATTCATAAACTGCATAACTGCTCCTAATAAGTAATAATTTTAATAACATCTTTAGTTGAATGATTTTACTCCACTGCATTTTGCTATACTGGTTACTAGTATAACAAATAGGTAATAATATATCATTATTTTTTTTTCTTCCTAATTTTCCTTTCTGTGCCATAGTAAAATATTGTATTTAATTAGGTAGCTTGAATTTCATTCTAATCAGAAACAAATGAATTTTTATCATAATAAGGCTATCAACAAATATTTATCTACATTTTCATTTCTTAAAATTTATCCTAAAATGTAAAAGAAGTCTTATTGTGGAGTAAATTCAGTAAATGTACCAGTAGCATCATAAATCTGTGAATTCAAAGCAACTGTTGTCAGACTGTCATTTCAGTGGTAAAAAAAAAAAAAAAAACATTCTTACCATCAGTATATTAAAGATCTGGAAGTTAGCTTCTTTCTAAAGAACTGATAATAATGTCATTTGAAATGATTTTGTAGCCTTAATGGAAAAGCATATAAAATTGTAGTAATGTGTACTAAAGTTTCACAGTTTAATATTTAACATCAGATCCTTACATTTTTACAGAGAGCTTGGTTTTTAAAGTTTGAATAATGTATAATTACTAATGGAGACAGTACCAGAAAAAATACAAATATCACTTCATATTTACTATGACAAAAGGTCTAATTTTGGTAGTTGGTTACCTTAATATTAGAAAAATAACAAAATTTGTAACAGCTTTGGAAAAAGAAGAAAATTTTATTCATCGCCATTGAAAACAAAAAATTAAGAGTTAATTGTATTATTTCTTTTTTGACTGGATGTTTTGCAGTATTTGGTACTGGGCTATAGAATTGTTTTATATTTCTTCTTTTTATATACCTAAAGCCATTGCATACACTTATTTTGAGTTCTAATGTTTCGTTAAAATTTGTTTTTAAATCTTATGCATGTGAAATTGTCGTTAATTAAAAAAAATTATAAATAAATATTGGACATTTATTGTGTTTCAAATATCATTTATATTTTTGTATACACAACAAATTAATCACATAAATTTCTGTAAATAAAATCCCATACTTAATAGGATTTTATTTCCTTTTTGTTGCTAATTAAATTTACAGTAACTTTCAGTATTTAAAATGTATTTTATTTCAGTAGTTTATTAAAATTTACCTAAATAAGCAAATGTTGTGTAATTATGTATGCTTTATCTATTTTTCAGTACATTTATAGTTCTTTTAATATTTTCAGGATGTCATTCAATCCGGAGGTCAAGTCGCTGTTTCAAATGCCATTTATGTCCATATGTGTCTTATGTCAGTTCTTGGTACTTGAGACGACATATGTTATGCCATACCCAGGATAGACCTTTTGTGTGTGATATTTGTCATAAATCATTCAATCAAAAAGGAAACTTAAAAGTGCACAGATTAACTCATATCCTTGGGAAAAGATTCCATAGATCATAATTTTGGTATCACGAATTAAGAATTGGTTTACATTGTAATTTCAAATTTATTTAGTTACTTTCCATGGTTTGTTTTAAATTATACGTATATAGATTTATCTTTATAAAGAAGAAATGAAATAAAACTGGAATTGTATTTATCTCTGAACATGTAAAATATATTTGCCTTTTTTAAATATTTGTTTTGTTTATTAGTTAGCTTTCTTGAAAAAATGAAACTCATTCTGTTATGTAAAATAATTATAATTTTTGTGTGATTTCACCCAGTTTTTCACATGCATATTTATTCTGAGGTATTGGTTGTGAATAAAACTTACGTCTTTATCGGCTGGATAAAGGTTTTTGTGCTCATAAGTTTTATTCTTCGTTTGGAATGCAGTGGTTCCCTCCTTTCCTTTCGTACAGACTTCTGGTTTACAGATTACATTCTTTAGTATACTACAGCATAAGAATTTACGTTTTATTGATGGCATTCTTGCTTGTGAATTTTTTTATGGCTGTTACAAGTTCATAAAATGAAAAGAACCATAACCAATTAGCACATCAATTAATTTCAGGAAAGAGAGTATAACTAATAAAGCATAATTTATGAAAATATATATTAAATGTAAAAAAATGAAAATGACCATTCACCATCAATGATATTGCTGTAAAGCTACTTGTAGGGAAAATATTTATTTTTTCTCTTTAAACAGAAAGATAATACAGTTATTAAACAAATGTGTGCATTTGCTTGATAAGAAACGTTTTGATTATAAGAAAGCACATCATGAATATGAAATAATAAGTATAATTTTGTTAAACAATTCTGATACTCAATTGTGGTAAATTTATTGCAATATTTGAAACTGTAAATTTTTATTGGTTTAATTAAATATTGCATAACAGAGTTTTTACTATTTAGCTGTTCATGAAGCCTAAATATTCCTTAAAACATCCTTTCATGATTGTTTACTTATTGAAAATGTTAAGTGTGGGTTAATGTCGAAGCTTATAGGTTACTCATCAGTGCTGAATTGGACTAAATTTCATTCTACAGCGGCTCAAACAATTGAGAATCCACCTTACTTGATAAATCTAACATTCATTATAATTAACACATTATCAAGAAGAGGAAACATGTTTTTACTTTTTGACATAAAAATGATTTAAGTAAAAATAAAAAGCAGTCAACAAAAAAAATCCTGAAATAAAAAATTTCAGAACCATTTTTTAAATAAATATATGCAGATATTTGCTCAAACTTCAAAATGTATACTGTCTTGCCTGAACTTATTTCAAGATGCATATGTGTGTACATGAAAATATAAAAAATATTTCTAAAGGTATGTGTGTGTGTATTATATATATATATATGTGTGTTGGCTGCTTGAAGAGATGAGCATTTTCTGTACTAATTTTGCATTAAAAAGTATACAATGTTCTTTGAAAAGCAGAAAGATTGTGTGCATGTGTGCATATTTCTTACTAGCTCAGAGTAAGTGAAATAATGACATGCTTAAGAATTATATTTGATGTGACTTGTGCTGGAAGTAAAAAGATTTTCCAATTGTAATATATATATATATATATATATATATATGAAAATACATATTCCTGAATAGAAACACATAAGCATAATTTTTTAGTGCTGTTCTTTCCTCTCAATCTTTACTTGTCTGTTGCTACTTGTTTGTATCTCTAAGATACGTTTTTTGAATTAATCCCTGTATTTATGTTAATTTTTTAAAATTAGTATTTAATAATTTTTGGAAAAAAGTTAAAATTTAATTAAATTTTTCTTTGAACCTCAAATTCTGTTATGGAAGCAAGGTGTATGCTCGATTCATATATCAGCTAATAACTTGCCAGTGCATGATCTTGAAGCTGATATTCATATACCTAATTTTAGATTCAGAACAGTAATTTTACTGTGTACATTATTAACATTATGTTGGTATTTTTATTGAATAATTGAAATAAAAAGTTAAAAAAGTTTTGTTTGTCAGCAGGGTTTTCATCTTTGCTTATGGTTAATGGAATGTATTCAGGTTTATTTTTTATTAAGTTGATGTATGTATATGTGCTATATCGATAAATAAACTTTAATTGCATTTTTAAAAATTTAAATACAAAACTTTACAATTAAATGCATCATTATATGGGTTTTGTTTTTATAATTTATATAATATGCTATAATTTTATATGATTTTTTATTTGTTATTTCACATGCTGGAAAATGTTTACATTAGTATACTCATATTTTAATATATATAAAATAAATATAAATGATTGTATGTGAAGTATTTCATTTTGACCTTAAAAATCTCTGTCCCTTTTTTTTTTTTTTTTTTCTCCAGGGTGCAATACTAAAATGGAAAGGGGGAAAAAAAAGTGAAAATCGAAGTAGTATTTTTCAACATCTGCCAAGTTTTAAAGTTTTTGCCCTACAGTGGAAAAAGAGATAACCAGATGCACAAGGAACTTGTATATTTATGTATTTATATATTGGCATCTGCGGTAAATGTCTCAACAAGTAAAAATACTACTAAATCATGATAAGCAACATTGCTAATTAACTCTAATGTAGCTTGTATAAAAATATTATGCTGGTTAATTACTTATGAAGGTAAGGATTGGTAATAATTTTTTTATACTTTCATGCTTCTTCTTGATATTATTTAAATGCCTAAAACCAAATTTGACTATGTTAATTATTTAACAGAAGTCATGTCTTGTCAAAATTAGAAGCTATAATGAAGCTGTACATATATGTCATTTATCTTTCGAAATAACGCTGAAAATGTCTCTTAAAGTTTTTTTTTTTTTTTTTTTTTTTTTTTTTTTTTTTTTTTTTAAGATAAAGCTTTCAGTGGCTATGAGTTTCCTTTTTCCCCCTGTACTGTTCTTATTCTTCCTTAAAAAATGTAATCCCTAAGTAATTCATTTCTAACCACCACAATATACAGGAGTTCTAAATTTGTAGGAGAGGTAGAGTGCACCCCGACAACTCAGTGTGACGTAGCAGTGTGGGGTCAGAAATGAAATGTGCATGGAAATTGCATGTGTATATCACCAAAGTGAATATGCGTTTTAATAATATATTTTAATTCACAAAAGTAACACAGGTCATAGAAAGTGGCTAAAGTCTCCTTTGTGAGCTATAATGCAGGCTTCAAATCTCTGGCATATAGAATTCCAAGTATTCTGAAAGTTTCTGGGCGTGTTTTAGACTCCTCTAAGCAACTACTGCAATACATGACCAGTTCCTATGCGTTGTCAGCTGGGATATCGTAGGCCAGTGTTTTCATGTTCCCAGTAGAAGTAATCAAGGCGTAAAAGAATCATCGATTCAGTAGTCCAATGCACTGGACCATTATGCATAATCCAGTATTGGTAAAATGTAATGTTTAAGTGGTACCATTTACCAAATGCATAAACACACAGACCTATATGAGATCTGGTGCATGAGAAAGCATTTCTGACCCTACATTACTATTCCTAGTTGTCTGGATACCCTCTAAATCCCTTACAAATTTGCAATTCTGGCACTGAGACACCTTGCATATATGTTATATATGTATATGTAATAATTTATTTACTAAAGAAATATCAATTATAGTATATCCTATTCGATTTGAATGAATTTTAGTTCATTCAAAATTTATATTAAGAGATAATATAATCAACATTTCTTTAGTAAATAAATTATTATTATCTTACTTTGCAGCTATTGCGCAAGTATTAGAAAAACTTGTTTCTGATTTCAATGAATTTTAGTTCATTCAGTATATATACACACCACAAAATCTGATTTTGAGTCTGAATTTTGGAAGTTTTCTCATTTTAGATCATTGATTTAAGTTCAACTAGATAATGTGTAGAAATTATAAATAAATAAAATTTAAATACATTTAAAATATTCTTTATTAATATTTCTTTGAGAAAGATATTTCACGTTAAAAAAAATTTGATTCACCACCATGTGAAATTAAAACACAAATCAAAGCCAAAATGGTGGTATATTTCAGATTTAATCCATACTACAGATTCCATTAATTTATTGATAACTGAGGCATTTTCATCATAGTGTAAGACTTCAGTGTAAATAACATATACTTTAGTGGTGTAGTATAAGACATCTTCAGTTGTATTATCTTTATTTAGCATTTCTTCGCATATTCCATGAATTAGAAAATTTTGCTTTTTCTTGCAACATTCGAAAACCTTCAGATTTGTGGCTCTCATCATGATCGTGAAATTTAGTAGGTGCTGTAAATTATGCCAAGAAATAAAAAAAAATATCTGCAGATGCACGCTGTCATGATCATATCCCACAGTTCAGATTTTATGTTAAAATATTTCTAGAATTCTTTGATCATCTTATGCAGCACTAGTTTTTTAAAAAAACTACTTTATACTGCATTGGATGCAATATTCCGATAAGCATTGGTTGATTGGTGGATGTAGATTTTCAGGTAATGAGTAAAATAGATAAGCTATTATTTACTAAAACTCTCATTTTGATAGGATTAATAACAATTAAGTGCTATTTGTTTTGTTAAATGGGAAGAGTACAGTTTGATCTGTTAACTGAATTCTTTGCCCTTCCCCTCTGTTTTGAACGAAAGGACATCAGCACGAGCAGTATCCCACTCCAAATAAATGGCTTGGGGCTTTAATTATTATTTAGATCACATAGAGAAATGCTAACCTTTGCACAACCATTCAAGGGCTGACAGTATGGTTGTGTCTAATGCCAGTTAAATGTATTGCCATTGGCTACACTGATTATCTAACCAGGAGGTGTTTGAAAAAGGAATCTCAGTTGAATCAGAAATAGATTTTAAGGCACGCCTGCTTTTTCTCCAGCATTATATTTTTCATTTAGACTTTTAATTAAGTTTTAAAAAATGAGAGTTTTTTTTTTGCTAGTAGTCTTGATTTTTGACTTTACGCTGCATATATATTTATTAAAATCAAAACGTAATCTAATAAACTAAAATATTATGTTCAATTTCGGGATAATGAATTATCACAAAATTGCTAATGTGAAAAGCTATTGTAAAAAGCAAACAATATGAGAGCTATTCAGAAATAATGAAAACCAATGAAAGGAAAAAAGGAAATACTATGCAAAGTCTTTAATCCGGACCTCAAAGCTACAAACTTTCTGTGCTTGCGTTGCGTTTACGCATGTGCATAATACGTTTACGCATGCGCGTTTAATGTATAACGGATGGTATAACCTAGGCTAAAATATCTAATTATCTATTTCAGTGAATGAGGCAGATTTTGCTGTTCCTTAATCTTCTAATTGGATCCAGCTTATTATTTGCAGACTGTTAGAACAATTTTATAAAAAGTAAGCTTGAACTTTTGATTATGTCAAAAAGAGTTTCCGTTTCTGGAGCTGCCAAAGGATGTACAAAGCGAAAGCATGTTTCGATGTCCATCAAACAAAAAGTGGAATTGCTGCAAAAAATGGATAAAGGCATGAAGAAAGTGACAGAGAGGTTAGTGAAAACGAAAAAATTTCGATTTATAAGTTAGTCAGTATTCTCGGCACAGCAATTACAGGACTTGAACAGCGGAACTTTGTAACTGAACAAGAAATTAAGTCTGTTTATAGAATTAAAGAGAAAGTATAAGCACATAAAACAAAGCAACTTAAACAACTTACATTGAAAGAAATGCTTAATAAAAGTAAGCAAATAAATATTAAGCTTTTTTTTAAAATTTTGTTATCCTTTAGATCATAATTGCTCTTTATTTCATCAATTACAGTTTCATATTTTTAATTTTATAATTTCTGCATGCCATCTTACCAGATTTAAATTAATGATCTATAATCCGGAATCGCCGAAGTCCTGACGAGTCTGGATTAAAGACTTTGTACTGTACAAATATTACAAATTACAACAGAAAAATTTTAAAAAAATATCCGAAAGCTTTCAGATTTTACATTATGCCCAAAGGGGCCTTTTTTTTTAACATTTGTGTGTTACCTTTATTTATTAAATATCATGTTCTTTGTGCTTAAATCATCAAATTCAATTCAATAACAATATCGCAAAATAATTTTAAAATGAGCATATGTTTAGAATTTACGATACTCAGTCTCGTGTGCTGCAGATAAATTCCCCCCTGTACAGTGTTGCCTTTTGTTCGCTTTGAAATTGTCGAGTTTGTTAATCAAAAATTCGTTAAAATATTACAAAATATGAAATCGATAATAAAACAAATTCCAGATTAGAGCTTTCAGATGCCCATATTGGTGGAGGATTACATTATGCAAAATTTGATGACTAGGTACTGTTGTTTATCACAATGTGAGAAATATAAATTTATTTATGCAGATTCTTCATTATTTAATTTGTTTAAATTTAACACAGGGCGATAATATTTGGTGGCAACAATTTGAAAAGTGAAATGCACATATACAGTTTTCGACGCAAAATGCCAAAACAAAATTAATAGCCATTCTGGGCTAATGCCCTTTGGGCTAAAAACGCAGATAAATTTTATCTTTGTGGAAATGTGATATCCGTTTGCCTTTATTTTTCGAATACTTATACTGTTTAATGAGTAATGTATTATCTTATAAATTTTTTGTGAAATACTTTATTTCTAACTTACAAATGTACATTAGTTAGCTTCCATCATAGGAAGACAGAAATCGCTCTTTTTTTTCCTTCAAAACTGCATTTAACTATAACATTATTGTGTGAAATTATGAACATGTACAAATATAAATAATTATTTGCAAAATTGCATGGATTTGAAGAATTTTTTTGACAGAAGTTCATGAAAACTTTCGATTTGTTTTGTGCAATAAGATTAAAACTGCTATGCTGTTTTACCTTCAAAAAATTCTTATAATATACATACTTTTTAAACAGCTTATAAATTTAAAAACATTTTGATTTATGTGTTGGATACTCTGACACACACACACATTATATATGCATACATATATAATAGGGTTGTCACTAGGAGTTTTACCACACAGTGGTTCCCAATTTCTGCTGCCCAGTAACTCCTTAATTCTAAGTATTTTGCTGCCTTTAATTCCTGCCACACGGTGTGGCTGCTGTGGTTACTTTGGTAATGGCTTTGGCCCTGTATTTATATGCTTATTTATATATTTTTATTTCCTAACAGGCTAGTTTTTTTTTTGGGGGGGGGAAAGGAAATTTATACATTCAATAATACTATTTTACACTACATTTCCACTTGGAGTTTTATTTTGTAAGCATTATGAAATGTTCCTAAAATTTCATCGTACTGCAGTTAGAGTAAATTTTATTCTTTGTACTATAAAATATTGAAAAATTGTGTATTTATTTTTGTTTCATATTCCATATCTAATTTTTCAGTTGTAAGTGTTCTATTCCTGAAATAATAGTTATAATATATTGACAATTTTATATAAAAAATGCTATGATTTACAGCATCTTAATAAGCATTGAAGAAGGAAGTGCTAAGGTAGGTTTTATATATATATATATATATAAAAATATTGTTGTAATTGAAAAGGGTTTTGATATAATTGTAGAATCTTTTCCAAAATAAAATAAATTTCATTAATGTGATATCTCAATATATTATAATCAGAAAAATAAAAAAGGGACCTGATTTAAGTGCAGGAAATATTATCATGTATTGAATATGATAATCTTTTCTGTACTTAAATCAGGTACCTTACTTATTTTTTCTAATTCTTATAATTAGTTATCCTGACTCTGTTTACCTGAAGAATTAATAACAGTTTTTCTATTTAAGCAAATTTTGAATATTAACTTGTAGAGACATTAGGTTTTTTTGGAAGCAGGAAAGATGAAAAATTAGCAACCGCCTTCGCCGGTAATCAAACTGCGGACCTGTAAGAATACATGCCCAGCGTGCAGACCACCACACCACGAACGCATGTCAAGAAGGCAAGAGAAATACCTTATAAAATCCCCCTTTTAAAGGGCGACTGGGGTTTTTGGGGACCGAATCGCCAAATACTGGTTGAGGAGAATCATCATCCTCAACCCTTTTAGTTTGGGCTCCACTGTAGAGCCATTAGTTTTTTTTTTGAAGAAGGAAAGAAGAAAAATTAGCAATCGCCTTCGCTGGGAATTGAACCGCAGATGTCTGGAATATGCGACCCATTTTCCTTTCCCTTCCATTATGCCAGAGTGCGAAAAAAGGCACCTCATTCCTACCTTTTTACATTGGTCATGAATGGAAAAAAGTCTCATCATTCCTACTTTCAAATAATTTTAGTTACAATTTTAGCTTAGTTAATTTAGTTACATTTATAACATATTTCTTCCGACTTTCTGTTATTCTTAAAAATTTTCACGATTTTTATGTAGCTTAATATTTCACTATTTGCACCTAAAAAAAAAGTGAATTTGGGTGTCTGAAAGCACTTGGTTTTTCTCTGGATTACATATAAAACAAAAACATTTATTCACTGATTGAAAAACTAATTTCATCAGTGAGAAATTATGTTGCACTTTTGTGAGTGTGAGCACATGGCCAAAAACATAGCGCTCAAGTTCTCCAGTGAGCATTGAATGCCACTGTGTGTCATCTAGCATATATTAGCCAGAGCACAAAGCAAGATTGAGGTTGTTATTTTGTTCTTTTTATTGTTGAGCGGTGTGAGTGCATGTGCTTTCAAGAAATAGTTTACGAAATTACTATCTTTTGTTTTAGTTATATCTGCAAAAAAGGTAAAATACTCTTGCACTTTTCAAAAATTGTACGCAGCTGACTTTCCTTCTATTATTTCCCAAAAATAATATAATACATTTGCAATGTGTACCGTTTGTCATTGCGATTTTTCAGTTTTGGAAGAGCCGGTGTTCTCAAACATGTGCGTACACAAAGACAACATGATTTCTATTTTTTTAAAAAAGGAAAAATTTAATTTTTCTGTTCAAACAAAGAACCAAAAAGTTATTAATGCCCGTTTTCTGCCTTTTTACTGAAGCACAACTTGCCACTGAATGCATTGGATGAAGCTGCAGCTTTATTTAGGAGAATGTTTCCTGATGGCGAAATTGCTAAGAAATGCAAGAGCCGAAATGACTGCAATTATTAAAGAAATGGGTATGAAAAATAAATCTTCAGTTATTGAATGCATTAAAGCAGTTCCATTCTGCCTTTTTTTGGATGAAAGCTATAATACCAATTCAAAACTGTATCTAGTTGTTTCTTTTTTTAATCTAGTGTCTTGAGAAATTGAGTGTAATTTACTTCCTGACCCCACCTTAGAGGGACATTTGCAGGGCCGGATTTAGACTTGATAAGGCCCTAAGCTGTGTGAGATATGGAGCCCTTTATAAGTCTGTTATACTATATTTATACCATATTTTAATTTGGGGGGGGCTAAGCTATAGCTTGTGTAGCTTATATGTAAATCCTGCACTGGACATTTGACAGGCTTCAAGCACAGCTAATTATTTTGAAAATTATGAAGTGCACCTAGCACCTCTTAAATTTAGCAGCTGAAAAGGGGACACCTTCTTTACCAATAATTGTGGATGAATACATTGTTGATATTTATTATTATCTGAGAAGGAGTTCTAAAAAGAAGGAAAAATTGCAACAACTGAAACAGCTGCGTATTACTGAAATAAGAAAAATTTTCAAACATGTATGTATACATTTGCTGTCTTTAAAGAAATATTTATCTACAGTCCTTGACCAATGGAGCCCACTTCTTTCATTTTTTGAAGAAGTAAATGCTTCTAAAGTTAAGATAAAAGGCTTTATCAAAAGTTATAAAATACTTGAAGTAATGAAGATGTAGCTCCTACTTCCACTGTTAAAAGTAGGTTTGAGAAAAATAAAGTAATTTCTGCACCAGAGCAATTTAATTGGCAGTTCTTAAAATGATACTGTGAAATATAAGTGTAAAGCTGATACAAAATTCTCTCAAAATAAAAAATTTAAAAAAAAAATTGCTCAACAAGGGAGGCTTTTTTCGATTATTGTAAGTTTATCTTATGAAGAATGAATATTTAGGTTTTTGTCATTGGATTTTTAAAAAAGCCTTTTCCTTTTTCATACAATTCAGTTTGCTATCATTTGATGTTCTTAATACTTCTGCAAAGCAGAATTCCATTAATTTATATTTTGCGATCAATCACTTATGATCTGTTTAAAGATATTATATTTAAGTTTGTAAAACCAATCTTTGTTTTGTATTTTAATTCTGTATATGATGTGATTTATGGTGAAATAGGAAATCAGAAGAAAGATGAAGATTTGGTAATAGGGGCTGCAACTAACAAAGTAGTGGAAGAATTTTCAGAGAAAGACAAAAATAAGTTTTATTCCACATTAGAAGATACTTCTGCCGAGTATGTGATTACATAATATATGAATTTCAATCAACAACGAAGTGATTTTATATGCATAAGTTGCAGATGTTACTGCTCTACCAAATGTGTCTTTTTCTAATCTAAAATATTTTTTGAATAGATTTGCAGTTTTACTTCATTTAGTCAGGAAAGATGAGGATATTGCAATTGAGAAATTGCAGTTGCAGTTTAAAATTAGAAAACTTGGATAAAGTTATAAAACCAGAGTGCGAAAGGATTTTCAGTATTGTTGCAAAAACAAGGACCAAATTTAGATCTAATATTAGCAATTAACACATTAGAAAAACTATGATTAGCAAAAGCAGCCCAATGTAGCAATTACTATGAACAAAATTATGAAGTTTCTTTCTTAATAAAAGCAAAATCTGCCACAGTTCATAGCATTTGTACGAAAACTGATTAAAGTATTATTTTTTTGTTAAAAGATGCAAATAATACTAATAATAATAAAATTTTTTTTTTTTTTTTTTTTTTTTTTTTTTTTTGGTGTAATCATTTTTGTACTGTTTGCATTTAAGAAATAGTAATTGAACTTTCAGATATTAATTACTAATTATTTAAAGTTAATTCATTATGAAAAAATATGTTTTTATGATTTAAAAAATGTTTTTGACATTTAGAAAAATCTCCTGATTGCTTAAAAAAATCTCCTGATTTTTAAATGTTTTATGTTTGCAAGTATGCAGTTGCAACATGTACTTAAATGACAAATGAATCAGTAGTCCTTCAGTCTCTGTGTCTTTGGAGAGCTTAACATCGGAATTATTGCAAAATGCACAACTAAGCCATGAAGAGAAAAGTGCTGCAGAACGTTACATTCAAGAATTTCAAAATGTTTTCCTCCTGCACACCTGATATAGATATATCTAATTTGGCTTAGCACGGAATGGATAGGGGAAATCATCTACCAATCAAGCAGTATCTAAGATATCTACCAATTGCTAAATAAAAAGATGTAATAAAACGTCTAAAAAACATGCAAGAAAGCAGTGTTTTAAGTCATCAGCTGGCGGGTCTGTCTCATGTCCTGGTCAGAAAGAAAGATGTTCAACTAGATACATAGACTATCACTGTTTGAACAACATCATGAAGAAAGACAGCTACCCTCTTCCTAGAATTCATGACATTCTGGATACTGTTTCTGGAAGCAAGTGGTTTTTGATGCTTGATTTAAAGAGTGGATATTGGCAGGTAGAGATATATAAACTGGCAGAGAGTAAGCAAAAGTTCTCATAGACAAAAAGAATGTGAGGATGCATTTAGCAAACTGAAAGAGGCATTAACATCTGTGACAATCCTGATGTATCCGCAGCTTGACAAAACATTTGTTTTTGACATTGATACCAACAATGAGAGTGTCGGTGCTGTTTTATTCCAAGAGATAAATGGTCAGGAACATGTTGTGGCATACTGGAGCAAGTGTCTTATCTAAACCACAGAGGAATTACTTTGTCACCAGAAAAGATTTGCTTGCCATAGTTAAAGTGGTGAGTACTTCCTTCATTACCTCTATGGTATTAAATTCCTCCTCCACATGGATCATGCATCATTAACCTGGCTATTAAATCCTGAAGGCCAACCAACCACATGGATTGAGAGACTGCATGAAAATGACATCACTATCCATCATCGAAAAAAATCATCATATGGAAATGCTGATGCTCTCTCTACAAGACCCTGCCCAGAAAGCTGCTGATATGGCATCTTCTAGTGGAATAATGAAGTTCATAATAATAGGAATAATGAAGAATATGGAATAATGAAGTTCATATTGGATGATGGAAGGGCATTCCAAGGCAGCTGATACTTCTAAAATCCCAGACATCCATAAAGAATTACATTGCAGTCCAAGAATACTTCTAAGATCCCAGACATCCTTAAAGAATTACATTGCAGCCTACTATGGAATAATGAAGACTTTGCATAAAGTTCGAGAATGCATCTACTGGAGTAATGCAGGGCTGAAGTGTAAAAGTTTTACCCATCCTGCAATGTTTGTGAGAGCCAGTAAGGGCCAAAGAGTCACAGCTAAGGGAAGTTGGAGTATTAACAATGTAGAAGTGCCTCTTGAATGTGTAGCCTTTGACATCCTAGGACCTCTGCCATGAACTTCTGATAGCTACAAAGACATCCCTGTTTTCATTGATTTCTTTACAAAGTGGACTGAAGCATATTATATGTGTGATCAAGAGGTTGTCATGGTAGCAGAGGAAATGATATAGCATTGGTTTTCTGGTTTGGAGTGCCTCTTCAGTTATATTCTGTTAAGGGAAGGAATTTTATGTGGGCTCTAGGGGTAAGTCCATGTAACATTAAAATAATCTGGTTAAAATGACAAGATAGTGAAGGGTTTGGCAGCTAATTTTTGTCACCAAATTTTGGCAAGAAATTGCTAAAAGTCACAAAACTTGGCAACCGTTTCATAACATTTGTGCTTGATCTCTGTATAAGTGTAATTTGTGTAATTCCTGTGTAACTATATTCATCTTATATGTAACTGTAACTGTATATGCCTTCCAGCTATTTCAGGAAATTGAAGGTACTGGAAACTCCATGTCGACCAGTGGAAAAGTAGAGACCAGAGAGAGCATCAGTTCTCGGGTTTTTTTTTTTTTTTTTTTTTTTTTCAGATTTGAGGTTGGAGTATTGATAAATCTCTGTGCGAGCCTTGAATTTTAGATGTGCTTGGCATTATATTGTGTTTAAGGTTCTTATTGATTTGTAGTGTAACTACTGGTTGTAAGAGCGGTACAAGTACTTTTGTGAAAATTTTCAGAACTGTATATGGAAATATATGTGGATATCTATTTCTGTTACAAAAAAAAAAAAAAAAAAAAAAAAAAATGAGTATGTTCCTTGTAATCAAATGATTTTCTGAAACTGAAAATTTGTATTTTTTGTTCTAAATTTTATTATAAAACTCAAATTATGGTAATGTTTATGTGTGTATTATATCACATTAAATGTGGAACGTATCTTGAATACCTAATCTTGAAATTGCCCACCAGTAGTCAAGGAGATAGGACCGCTGAATGCTGTTAGTTTGGGCTGGGTTTAGTTCATGACGAACTCACTGGTTGCATGGTTTCATATAATACAGTCAAAAGTCGTTAATTCGGACCTCAAAGCTACAAACTTTCTGCGCATGCGCGTAAGACCTTTATGGCTGCGAATATGCGTGTGCGCATGCGCAAAATACGTTTACGAATGCACGTTTAATGTATAACGGACAGTATAAGCTAAGCTAAAATTATCTAATTCAGTTAATGTTGCAGATTGCATTGTTCCTTAATCTTCAAATTGGATTCGGCTTATTATTTTTTGCAGACTGTCAGAGCAATTTTATAAAAGTAAGCTTGAACTTTCAATTATGTCAAATAGAATTTCTGATATATATTTACTAATATGTAAAGGATCTACAAAGCGAAAGTATGTTTCGAAGTCCATTAAACAAAAAGTGGAATTGCTGCAAAAAAATTTATAAAGGCATATCCTTTGTTTATCTAAACTTTAACGTTTGTTTATCTAAACTTTGTTTATCTTTAACGCCGCGGTGGGTACGTGCAATGAATTGGAAGTTGATCTGTCAGCACTATCCTTATCTTCAGGGCAGATGTTTTTATTTTATTTGGCTTATAATTCCTTACTAAATGTAGTGTTTCATCTCGATGTACTCCGTATTTGATATGATTTAAATCAAATTCCTCGTCATTATAATTCGCTTCCGATAGTGAAGAAAGTGACAGGTTATTGAAAACAAAAAATTTTCGATTGACAAATTAGTCGGTATTCTCGACACAGCAATTATAGGACTTGAACAGCGGAACTTTGTAACTGAACAAGAAATTATATCTGTTTATAGAATTAAAGAGAATGTATTATCACATAAAAAACGAAGCAACTTAAACAACTTACATTGAAAGAAATGTTTAATAAAGTAAACAAATAAATATCAAGCTTTTTTTTTTTTTTTTTTTTTTTTTTTTGTAAATTTTGATACCCTTTAGATCATAATTGTTCTTTATTTCATAAATTACGGTTTCATATTTTTAATTTTATAATTTCTGCATGCCATCTTACCAGATTTAAACTGATGATCTACAATCCGGAAAAATCGATAATCCGGATTATAGATCATCCCGGATTATGGGTGTCCGAATTAATGACTTTTGACTGTATACAGTGGGGGGGGGGAATATATATTACAATTTTAATTGTTAAAAAATATAATAATAATAAATATAAGTTGCACATTTTATAATATAACATTTAGAAGAATAAGCAAATAGAAATGGTTTTTTTTTTTTTTTTTTATAAATTATGTAAAACATTTAATTTTATTATAGACTTCATCATAGGTTCTTACAGGATTTGCGATTACCAAATGTAAGTTTTCATATTTTCTTTTTTTTTTTTTTTTACTTCAGTACAACCTGTATTTACATTAGCTAATAACAAATGTCAATGGACTAAATCTTCAGTCCATCAAATAAAAACCACATACTGGGATGGCTACAATTAAATAATGAATTAAGTGCGTTATGAAAGCCTTCGCAAGAATTTGTGGTTTTAGATTTTTCGAATGCTGCTCATAAAGTTCAACTGAGAGGCAAAATCAAAGTACGTAAAAATGTTAATTTTATTTCTAAAATTTTCAATTTCTGCAGAAATTTTACAACTTCTTTGGCTCTGAACTTAAATAACTACATTCAATTTCTATAGATACACATCAAAAGTATGCAAAAATAGAGTAAAAAAACAAAAAATAATTATTGGCAGTTACAGGAAAAATAATGTTGTGCAGTGGCAGTGATATAAAATATTACAGTATGTGTAAAATTTTACTACAGTTTTCATGCTTTTATTTACAGCTCCTGAAAAGGTTAATCTGAGCATTTGTCCATGTGAACATATTTCATGTGAGCTTTTTTTCAGTGTGAGCATATTTCTAAGTGAGCTTTTTTCTATGTGGCCATATTTCCGTGTGCGCCTTTTTTTTTCTGTGAGCTTTTATATTTGTGAGCATTTTTCCTGTGGGCATTTTTCCCGTCACCGATATATCATTAATTAGTCACCGTTCTTTGGCCCACCATCATCACCAAACTTTCTTACAGCTTACCTGTTTTTTGGAAGGCCTCTATGCTTGTGAAACAACTTTTTTATCAATTTCAAACACTTGGGGGGACAGACGTCAAACTGCACCTGTTCTCAAGCTCGCTAATCATTGCACCATATGTAAAGGTGTCCTGATGTTTTCTTGTAACCAATACTGCACATACAATTTCACTTTCACTTGCAGAAGAATGCCTGAAAATGTGCCTTCCTCTGTTCTTTTTAAGTTGCCTTGTACCGTTTGCACTAACTTGTCACATTTTGCATACCTCTGATATCATAGTGCTTACTGAATACAAAGAGCCCTTTTCAACAATTTTATGGTTGTATGTAAAAAAATGAATTTGTTGTTTAAGTTTTGCATGATTTTATATTATGTAAGTATTTTTAACAATAGTGTATTAATGTAAGTATTTTTAACTGTACAGTTAAGTTTTATTCAATGATACTGTTTCAAGTCTAATGTTTCATTTTTTATTTCTGTCATATATGATTTTCATCTAATTATTTTATTGTTTAAATATTTTTTCTGGTGGGAAAAAGCTAAATGCAGAAAATTACTTCTTTATTAAGTTGATAAAATTCTTCCTATTTTCATCATTGTTATTACCAAAATAATTTTACCTTATTAATTGAACGTTATATCTATATATTTACGCAAGTTTCAAGCTTTGATTTTGTTATTTATAGGTCTTTGAAAATAAAGTTCTACTCTTCTTGTTACTGTTGCTTAAACATTTTATATCCACTCATCAAAATTCAAGGATAATGACAAAAATAAAACATAATTAATACTTAATGAAAAATTATTAATAGAAATTTGTACAAACACATTATTAACATAAATTACAATGTTTGGCAGTTGATTATTTGCAAAATATTGAAACTGAAGACAGATATGCATACCGAACATCTTGGTTGACTTTACCAAAGTGTTGGTCAAGTCTTGTGGAATTGCAACCACTTTTCAGCTCCTAGAGGGTTCAGAGAGGAATTTGGCGTGGTGAAATTCAATGCCGTAAGTCATCCCACACACGCTCAATCAGGATCAAGTCGGGATGAATAAGGTGGCCAATCCATTCAAGTGATATCTTCTGTTTCCAAGTATTCTGATTCCACGTATGCTCGATGAGGCTGAACAATGTCACCCATTAGCAAAGACTCTGGGCCAACAGCACCCATAAACAGTCTTAACTTAATGATGCCTTTGAGCCATAGTAACTGAATACAGATCACTCTCAGAAACCACATTCACTTTAAACAGCACTACAGACTAGAATTCCAACATGCATCCATTACGCGCCACATTGTCAATTACCAAATTTGTATATTTCCTGTGGTTGCGGAAGTGCAATTTTGTTTTTAATTGTATTTAATCAACATAAATAATTACAGCATTTGGCATTGGTTGCAACATTAACTTAGTGGGTTTTTTTTTTTTTTTTCCTCATTATCCTTGAATTTTGATTATCTGTATAGATAAACATCGGGTTAAGAAAATAACATTAGATTTTTTTTTCATTTAGGTATTCAAATTATTTTTTCCCTTTCCTGCTATAAATACGATCTTAAAAGAATAATTATGTCAACAGAATATTTTAAGTTAAATGCATGTGAATTATGTTGTGTCCATTTATGATATCAAAATGAAGTTTTGTTAATTTTTTATTATATTTTTATTTCCTGAGGTGTTTTAGTATATGAAGTTTAATTTTGTTTTAGTTAAAAATAACTTATATCTGTTCTCAATTGATTACAGGTTATTATCATGTGGAAAGAGATTGTTTATCAAGGAAATATCATTGTGCTTTATGTTCTTACACAACAAATAAAATTTCAAATTACAAAAGTCATGAACTAGCTCATACTCAAGAACGCTCATTTGTTTGCAATATTTGTTTGAAGCGATTTAATCATAGGTCTAATTTGAAAGCTCACTCTAGAATACATACTGGGGAAAAGCCATATTGTTGTGATTTGTGCCATCGGACATTTACATTTTGTTCAAGTTTTCGGAAGCATATGTTTAGGTGCCCTGGTTTGGTTGACTAAGTGGTGTTTATTTTCCAGGGATCTATTCTTATTAATGGCTTAAGTTTTTGTCCATGGATGTACTAGTTAAACATTTTATTAATACAGAATCTAGTACTCAACCGTTTCTTATAGTTAGAAAGATATATTGTGATTTGTTCTATCGAATATTTAAACTCTATCTGTTGTTAAAAGAACAAAATGTTGCTTTTTGTGCTGTTTGCTCTAAATAATTATAAAATAATAAAAACATTACTATAAAAATTGTAGTAATATTGGGTTTTAACGAAAGTTTTCCGGCACCACAAAACAGTTCGCGTTGGCATGTTTAATCATATTTTGTCAAACGATTTTTGGTATTTGAAAGAAAGAGATTTGTGTTAGAACATTTTGTAAAATTTGTTAAAAAAAAAGATGAAGAAGTATCGTTATCACTGAGTACAAAGTGACTGAAATGGAGCTATCATGCTACCAGATTAGAACCATCATTTACTTCCAGTTCTGTAAGAAAAAAAGATGGGGTAGAATCTGTTCTGGTCTGTTTTTGGCAGAATGCCACCAAATCATGTGTACAATTTTAGGTACTAATGTTGTATCATATGACACTGAAAATCTGATGTCAAAAGTTCAAAAGCAAGGACTATGAAGAAACAGAGCACTCTGGCCAGCCTACTGATGTTGATAAGGCCCACTTGCAAGAACTTGTGGAAGATGAGTATGTAACCACTCAATAGCTTGCTAAGAAGATAGACATTAATGCAATGTCCATTAGTTGTGCTATGCATCACAAAAAAAGTTCAATTGCTGGGTGCCACATAAGCCTACTGAAGCAGATAAAGACAGTTGTGTTCGGGCCTGCACTGATCTGCTCGAGTATCAGTGCAGAGACAAAATTATGTATCAGATTGTCAGTTGTGATGAAAAGTGGGTTTATGTCAACAACACAGGCCGAAAAGGAGTTTCGTCTGTCCCAGTGAGCCCACCACAAAATGCAGTTTGACTAACAAAAAGATGATGCTTTGTATCTGGTGTGATTTCTGTGGTATTATCCACAAAGAATATATGGTGAAAGATGAAACCCTCAATAGTAAGGTGTACAGAGAAATGCTAGTCCGTGTTGATGCTGCTATCAAGGAAAAACTTTGAATTGAGTTCTGGTACAAAAAGGTAATGTTCCATCAAGATTATGCAAGACCACATGCATCTGCATTCATCGTCTGCACTCTATACACACTCAAATGGGATCTTTTGCCAAACCCACCTTATAGCCCTGACATCGTTGCTTCAGACTCCTATCTTTTTTCACACCTGCAACTACATCTTGTTGGTGCTATCTTCCATTCCGCACAGGACATCCGGAATAAGGTTGATATGTTTTTGGACTCGGAGCCAGCCACCAAATATCTGGACTGAAGGCTTTGAAAGTTATCAAAACAATGGCAAAGAATCATAGACTTGGGTGGTGATTACTGCCTGCACTAAAGGTACAGCTTTCATTTTAATTTTTTTACCTTATTAACCTTTTTGCGATGGCGCACCTTCGTTTAAGAAGCTCGGAAGTGAATCGAAGGCAGTCACCGTACAGGACGGAGATTTTGCATTGCTAAGCCTAATTTTATAAAAAAAAAATCGGGCAAAAAACAGTTTTGACTTCTAGCATCATAATTTTTGGTCATTTTAGATTATTACTTGAGCTCTTATATATGTTAAAATTAGCACTTAATAAGCTTTTTTTCTTTATTTTACATGAAAATATACTTAAAAATTTCCTTATCTTGTAAAATAATTTTCGGAAGCATTATACAAATTATTCCAAAGTTTTAATTGATAAAATTAATCAATAAAGTTTAAATTAATAAAACAACACATTAAAGACTATTTACAGTAAGAAGTAACAAAATTTTAAATGAAGACTGTGGTAAATCTCGAAGCACGGAGAAGTATCACTTTCTAACTCTTAGAAAAAGTATCACTAAACTCTTTAGAAAAAGACTCATCACTCTCATCTGCGTTAGTAAATGGTTCATTAACCATACGAGAGTATTCTTCTTCTCATAAATAGAACCTTCCAGCCATAATAGACTGAAGGTGAGGCTTTCCGAAATAAAAAGAAACGGAAATATATCTGAAGGCAATGCAAAATGTAATAGAACTCCGAATATTAACCCTTAAAGACCATATATAGTAGAGGAAAGGAAAAAAAAACTAGAATAAAAAAAGGAATTGGATATAAATCAGACATGCGAATATTTTATATTAGCATATGGCGATTTAAAGAGCCCACCTCTGTTTACACCCCCCCCACCCTCACAACAGTTGATGAGTAAATACCGTCAACTGTCAAACCGAATATATCAAACTCAAGGTCATTAACCTAAAACTGTGTTCATTTCAAAAGTAATGGACATAGAATGCCATCTAGTGGCTGTCAGAAAAACGTTCCAGCTTAAAATGCGTATGTGCATCACCTGTCCTCTGAATGCAATCTCTAGTGATGCATGGATGAGATGCCTGGTTGTAAGAGACGTTCTTAGGGAATGCGTATATGGGATGCCCGTCCTGAAAGGGTTAAGAACATTTTTTGGTGGAAAATATTCGTTACAACCAGATATTTGTGTGCATGTTTTCAAGTGTTGTAAATATGTGTATTTCCAAGAACATCAAAGTTTTGCTAATTTTTTCATATTATATATGGTATTGAATTTTGTTTATTTCTATGAATCAGTTTTTGTGTCTTCTCAATATTAAAGTGCTTTATTATTATATTAAATCAAACACTTCTTTCTTTGAAACTTTATATGTAATTAAAAGTAAGATGCTTTAATTGCTTTATAAAAGGCTGTGAATGTCAATCATCTGTTAAAAAAAAAGGAGATTCTTCCTTGTGCATAATTTAGGTAACAAAGAATTATTTGAAAGAAATTATTAATTTATTGCTTTTAATTTTCTATGTTTTAATTATATTTCATTGTGCACATTTGCATTTTATCATTAAGAATGCACATTAGCATTTAACTCTTTTGAGATGGCTTACTTTTATTTTAAGATGCTCCATCGAGACAGATAGGAGTTGAATGGAATCATCTCATGGGAATGGAGGTTTTGTATTGCTGAGCCTAACTTTAGTAAAAAAGAAATCACAACAAATTTTAAGTCTTAATGTCATAATTTTTGGTACTATTTTAGATTATTACTAAAGGTATGATATATGTTAAAATGAGCATTTAATAATCTTTTTCCTTTACTTAACATGAAAATATGTAAAAGGAATTTCTTACTTTGAGGAGTAATTTTTGGAAGCCCTATTCAAATTATTCCGAAGTTTTAATTGACAAGATACATTAATAAACTGTAAAATTAATAAAAGAACATGAAAACGACTATTTACAAGAAGTAACTAAATCTTTTATGGGAAGTAGAAAACTGACACTACACTCTGAGCTCAGTCTCTGATAAAATGTCCGTATGAGAATCACTAGAAAATAAATCATCACTCTCATTCATGTTACTAATTGCCTCATTTTTTACCATACAAGTATATCATTCTTCTGATGAATAAAGCTTTCTCGCCATAATAAACTGAATTTGAGGCTTTATGAAATAAAAAGGGAAGCACAGTCAAAAGGCGTTAATCCGGACCTCAAAGCTGCAAACTTTCTGCGCATTTGTCAACGCATAATGCGCGTAATACCTTCACGCATGCGCACAATACTTCTACGCATGCGCATTTAATGTATAACGGATGGTATAAGCTAAGCTAAAATTATCTAATTATCTATTTCAGTTAATGTTGCAGATGCATTGTTCCTTACTCTTTGAATTGGATCCGGCTTATTATTTTTTGCAGACTGTTAGAGCAATTTTATAAAAGTAAGTTCGAACTTTCGATTATGTCAAATAGAATTTCCGATGCTGGAGCTGCAAAAGGATCTGCAAAGGGAAAGCATGTTTCGATGTCCATCAAACAAAAAGTGGAATTGCTGCAAAAAATGGATAAAGGCTCCTTTGTTTCTCTAACCATTCTGAAATCTGTTTATCAATTTCACGCTGCTCTGTTGGGGGGGAACGTCGTGGCGCACAATGAACTGGAAGTTGATCTGTCAGCACTATCCTTATCGTCAGGGCAGATGTTTGTATTTTATTTGGCTTATAATTCCTTACTAAATGTAGTATTTCATCTCGATGTACTCCGTCTTTGATATGATTTAAATCAAATTATAAATTGTCATTATAAATATCACGAATACAAATCAAATAGTTTTCTGGTTGCAATTTTTCTAATTTCGACTGTTCGTAATATATGCTTTATGCATGCGCAAATAAATATTAAGCTCTTTTTTTTTTTTTTTTTTTTTTTTTTTTTTTTTTTTTTTTTTTTTTTTTTTTTTTTTTTGTAAATTTGGTACCCTTTAGATCATAATTGCTCTTTATTTCATAAAATATGGTTTTATATTTTTAATTTTATAATTTTTGCATGCCATCTTACTAGATTTAAACTGATGATCTATAATCCGGAAAAATCAATAATCCAGAATCGCTGAAGTCCCAACGAGTCCGGATTCAAGACTTTTGACTGTGTATGAAATCTAAATGGTAAAAGCACATGTGGCGAGGACCTCGCCACGTGTTATTCGCCACTCGCCAAGTTTACATTTGGCTTTGCCTCCTCCAGCTGAAACCAACATCACGCAGAATGTCATCAAACTGAAGGTCAGGATCCTAAAACACTATTCAGTTCAAATGAACAGAGGATGCCTTCTAGTGGTCTTTAAAAAATGTTTAAGCGTACATTATCTGTCCCTTGAATTAGTTCTCCACTAATGCATGGGTGGGATGCCTGGCTGTGTGAGACATTCGTAGAGAATGGGTATATGGGACACTCGTTCTGAAAGGATTAATCAATCAAAACAACATTTGAAAATAGTAGCATTAAGATCTGAACTTATCTTGTATCAATCATATGCACAAGTTTAATATCATAATGCTAAAAACTAGTAGTATTGAACCTTATGCTATTAAACTTTTATATTTAAAGTACATCATTTGACAAGTTGTGACTCTCTAGTGTTAAATTTATTTTTCAGCTATTCCTTTTTCTGAGCTATGATATTTTCGGTGAAATACATAGCTAAGTTTTACTTCTGAAAAGTTTCCATTGCAAAGTAAATAAATAACTATATATTCCTTTAACCCGCAAAGACGCACGTCGGGCTCCGTAGGCCCGAAGTGCTTTTCTTAACAAAACAAAAATAAAATTGCTTGTGTAATTGAAGAAAAACATTTAAATAAAAAAAAAAAAAAACAGAGTGTATAAAATATAGAAATATACTTTTAATTCTAATAAAGTCTAACAAAATTGTATTTTAAAACAATTTTACTGAAATTATTCATCATTAACAACAAAAATTAAACTGATTTCTTTTTTAGCGCAAATGAAATTTAGTACTAATTTATGTAATATTAAATTTTTACAGCAATAATTTCAAAAAAAAAAAAAAAAAAAAACTTACATTTCACATTTTTTAGCAAATAATCGTGCTGTGTTTACCACAAACATTTTTCTCGCACATAGCGCAGCAAATTTGTGATTTTCGGTCCGTTACTCCAAGACTGTAAACCTTTTTGCAATTTTCAATGAATTTTTCAAAGGGATATCTTATCAGAGCCAGTTTATTTATTTCCCTTCTAGAAAAGCGATTTCTTATGTCATCAAATCTCAAACATCTCATTAGAAATTTAAAAAAAAAAAAAAAAATTGTTAGACATTGTTCGATGAACAGTGTCAAGCACTGTTCCGTCAGTTACCCAAAGTTCGAGAACATTTATGTGAAAAGTCTTGTGGAGTCAAAATAAAGAAGACCGATAAATGCTCTAATTTGTGTAATATTTGTGGATCAAGCATCTCTCAATCTTTCAAATTTGACGGCAATGAATTCGACATAAATGTTTGCACAATCTGCTAGAATTTTTACCATTATTTTATCCATAAGCAGTTACCAAGAATTCATAGGGGAGGACACAAATTTTGCTTCACAAACATTTCTGAGCAATTTTCTCACAATGTTGTGAGCAAGAGTTCTCACAGCAAGTCTTGGTTCTTTTTTATTCCGTTTTGTCACATTATATTTGTCAAGATAACAATTCGCTGACGGACACAAAATTACTTAATTCATTACTAGATTTATCGCTTGGGTCTAGCCTCTTCAGAATTCGATTGGTGATAACTAAACTGCTCTTCACCAATTATTTCTTCGTCCTCTTCGTTAATTGTATCTTCATCAGTCGACACTTCGGCTAATAGTTTCTGTAGTCCTTTAATTTCATCCACATAGCTCAAATAGCAAGACTTTTTTGCAACTGCCTAATCTCTTTCACAATTTTAAATGACAATGCGAGCATGCACAATGGGAAGCGCAGTTACTCAGTTTCTGAGAAAAGATGAAGGGTTAAATTCCAGAAATGCCTGTGAATGACAAGTACATGACCTTAAATGCAGCTGAGAAGGTCGAAAAATTTCACCAAAGGGAGAAATTTTTGTATTACGTTTTTGTAAAGACGGCCTCACAGGCCCGACGCACGTTCTCGCGGGTTAATGTAATTTTGCATAGACTCCAACTACTACCAATTCTCTGTAGTTTCTACGGAAATTCATGATAAACTACGAGCTACAAAAAGTATGGAAAAAACTACGGATTTTACAGAAACAGAGTAGGAGAATCAGTACGCAAAACAGAACCAACTAATTCATCCGATGATTGGCTGAATACTCGTGTCATCATATATCACGTGTTGAGTGCATTGCTGGTTTTGAAGAATAGCCAATCGTAGATCAGTAACTCCAACCGTTAATAGTCACCCCCCCCCACACATCTGGTCAGCGGGTGCAACAAAAGACATCTGTCTACTTTGTCTGTCTATATTCCAGGCAAAGAATCTGTAGGTTCTTTGGTCCTATAGGTCCCTATAGATTCTTTGTCCCAAGTTCGTTGCTACTGCGTGATTAGCTTGCCTTCAACTCCATTGCTTGTATTAGGGCGAGAGCTTAGCCTGTGTCTTGTGAACTGGGATTCAGGTGGAAGTTTTTTAATAATGCTACCTCGAACAAAAAAGCCAATATTATCAAAGCAGAAATTTAAAGATTCATATTCTTTTTAAAAATGCTACCTCGAACAAAAAAACCAATATTATCAAAGCAGAATTTTAAAGATTCAAATTCTTCAGAATTTCTATGCATCAAAGCATCTGTAATTTCTGTGAATCATGCAAGTCTAAAGAAATAACGAATTTCTTAATAAAAGATGACGAAACAGGTCCTATAGAAGCCGAATGCTATTTTGTTCGATTTTTAATTGAACACAATCTACCGCTTTCTGTTTCGGATCATTCCAAAGAGCTTTTCAAAGCAATGTTTCCGGATTCTGGCATAGCAAGAAAATTTAGCTGCGGTCATACCAAAACTGCCACTATTGTGAAAATGCTTGCAGAAAGTACTGTTGCCTTATTATAAAATCGGTGTGCAATACATCGTTTTCTCTAAATACTGACGGAAGTAGTGATAATGATAACAAACTGTATCCATTGATTATAACATATTACAGTAAAGAAAAGGGAGTGATAATTATGTCATTGATTTCTATTTTTAGAAGTGCACAAATAATACCCAAATAATACTGGAGAAGGTATTTTTAATTGTATAAATGAAAACTTTTTAAAAGCGAAGGTTTAGAATGGAAAAATTGCCCTTATCATTTTCGTCAGATAATGCTAGTAATATGATTGGAAAGTTTAAATGTGTAGCATCGTTTATCAAAATGCATCAACCAAGTATAATCATCTGAGGTTGTCCAGGCCACCTCTTGCATATAGCTGCAAAAAAGGCTACTGAAAAATTAATTGGCTCAGAAATCGAAATGTTGTTAATAGATATATGTGTTTATTTGGAGAAAAGTTCGAAACGGAAGCATAGCTTCAAATTTGCTCAACAAATTTTGGGACCGAACGCAAAATCTCATAAAATTTTGAAATATTGCAGTACGAGATGGTTGTCTCTTTTAGAATCTATAACAAGGATTTTGGACAGTGGGATGCTGTGATAAATTTTTTTTGGAGTTCAACCAGATAACAGTAAGAATGAAGGAAAGAGATTGCAGAACATTAAAAAAATGTTACAATCACCTACCACCAAATTGTACTTGTTATTTTTGAAAAATACTTTGTTTATAACAGTAAATACTAATTTGCAACAACAAGCTCCTTATATACATAAATTGAGAAGAGAACTTGTTCAAATTTTAAGGAATTTATTTGTTAGATTCGTAAAACCATCAGTAGTTTCTAAAGAAAATGAAGATTTTACTCTAACATCTCTTTCATTTCAAAAGTATAGTAAACAAAAAGAAAATGAAAATTTAGTGATTGGTGCAGAAACAAAACTATATTAAAAAATTCCAAGTTGGATGAAAGTGAAGTAAAATCATTTTTCAATTATGTGCAAGCTTTTTTTGTAACTGCATCTTCATATATAATAGATAAATTTCCACTAAGTGATCCATTTCTAAAACATGCTGAAGTTGCTGACATCAACTTGAGGACAGAAGTTTCATTTTCATCTGTTCTTTACTTAATGAATACTTTTCCATCCATTATTGATGAAAAATATCTTAGTGGAAATTGAATTTTCCATGTATCAAATAGATGATTTGAAAGAAATTGTAGATTTGCGTATTGATATAGCATGGGGAGAAATGGCCAGATTAAAAGATATGAATGGGTGTATTAAACACAAAGTATTGCCTACTGTAATGCTTTCTTAATAATACCTCATTCAAATGCAGCTTGCGAAAGAATTTTTTCTATTGTTAAAAAAATTCGGAGGGAATTTCGACCAAATTTAGGTCCTAAAACTCTCGAAGCAGTTTTGATTGAAAAAATAAGTATGACAGGCTCTCTACAGATACAGTTATGCCGAGAATTGCTATCCAAACTGAATCTTGATTTATCTGATCGGTGCTCCACTGAAGTCTGGTTTAAAGCGCATGTTATGTGCACCATGTTAAATGGGCTACCTTGTGTTTTGCAGTGAGCGGGACACAGACAGCCCTATGTCAAAGCTTTCGGGCAACTGTAGACTGTGAAACTCTAGTTCCTGTGACAGCATTCAGCTCACATGCGAGCACATACAGCCTCACTGCTCGCATGTGAGCTGAATGCTGTAACAGTCCTGCATCAGTACACTGGAAGTGCTAAATAACACTCCTCATTCATAGTGTTGCAGATCTTGGTCGACTTTGTCCAGGTCTTCTCAATATGAATCCCGTGTCCTGAAACTGTTTCCACCAATTGCAGACAACACTGGACATTACATTGAGTTCTGTAGTCACCTGCACTTGTGATGATTGGCCTGGCTCCAGTCTCTTGACATTTCTCCACCTCATTCCGTCATCTGTATGTTTGTGGTTACTTATATTACTTGACACAAAATTTGTCTAACTCTTGCAAGAAACACAGAGAATGTCATGAAGTAGTAAGAGCAGATAAATCATAGAAAACACTGTGCGCTTATGTGCCCTTCACAATCACAACTCCGTAGATATGCATATGTACGCTTATGCATCCGGCTCTGAATGTTTGCATAATTAATACCTTTGGTTCAATATTTTTCGTAAAAATAGACAAAATTTGCAACCTCTTTTAGTTTTGCACACAAGTGTGTAATATGACTTGCAATAGCTGAACAAAAGTATAAATATTTAGAAACTTTCTTCAGTATTTTAACATCTTGTATATGTTTATATTTTCGACCATATATGATAGTAAATATCTTACCTGCAGTTTTAAATTTTCACACATTACAAATATGCACATATATGTATCAAAAAGTTAAAATTCAAAATTTACCAGAAGTAGATTGAATCATCCCAGGAAGATGCTAAAATTGCATAAAGAAAGCTGTTGCATTTTAAAATTATAAATCAAAATTAAAGACAATTGCTTACTATTTTTGAAAATGTTTGTAATTTATTTAAAGTGGATATACCAAACATATTATAATTTTATAAAACATTATTGATTATTCATATTTCTATGATCTCGATGGGCTAGTAGTAATCTTAAACATCAAAACCAAGATAATCCAAGAGAACTGTATCACATTTCATTCCACATGACCTTTTGAGCATTTAAAGATGAAAATAAAATACACAAATACATGCACAAACACTCACTTACACAAAAAGAAAGAAATTAAATTAAAATAGAAAAATGAAAAATATATTCATTGTTTACTCAAATAAATCATGCGATTACCATGATGTGATAAAGTCTCGCACAAATAAGTCTTTAATATATATTTTTGAAAGTTAAATTACCATAAAAATATAAAATGTAATTAAATAAATAGAAAATCTAGTAAAAGCTGTCAATTTACATTGAAAATACAGTGCTCCGTTTAACTGTAGAATTTAAAGTTACTAAATATTTGACTCACGACAAATTTGCCAATGAATGTTGTGAAAAGCATTATTGTAGAAGGTAAAATCCTTAAAATTCATTTTGAACTATTAATAATAAAAATTAATGCGAAACTTTCTTGTACTAATGAAGAAATAAAAGAAATTAAGAAAAGTTACAAAAATTCTGTTGTCAACATTCAAATGACCTGTAGAAATCAGAAGGGCGCTATTCCTCTTTTCTTGTTAAGAATGCATAGAATCTAAGGAGCAAGGTTGCCATTTCCTGGGAATTTCATTCAAACATAATAGTGGACAAACCTGATACTGTGTTTTGCATTAAAAAAAAAAAAAAAAAAAAAAAAAAAAAAAAAAACCTAGCAAAATGTCCTATAAAGGCATAGCTTAGAAATTTGGCATTACAAAGGTGAAAACTGGCATGATTATGTAAGATTTTATAAAGAGGAAGAATCCTTTTTGTGCAGCTAAAAGTGAATTTTTAAGTTTGCCATATCATGAGTAATGGAACAGTGGAAGAACTTAATTGCATGCCTGATTATCCCGAGTTATCTCAGATTCATATATATTGCAGTTAATTATTATCCCGAGAAACCTCGGATGAAGCAGCGTTTGTCAGTACGATTTGTTTTATCACTGTTTTACTCAGCTTGCAGGAAATGAAAGGAAATATTCAGCTTTCCAAATTGGCAGTTTTCCAAATTTTGTTGGTTTCACAGTTATTTTGGCAGGACTGGTCATACGTTTTTCCTCTTGTATAGTATATGTTGGCATGTGGATTAGTAATGTATAAAGAAGGATAGTTGGGTTGAACAAAAGTAAAATAATGGCGATGATGCAAAATAGCGAAAGCGATGATTCTTCAGATGGTGATTATGAAGAGGTGGACACTGAAAATAGTGGATGTGATTCTTCTGCATATAGCCTTATTGAAGACAATAGTTCAAGTGACAACAAGACAGTGTACTCTGTTCTCCCATAAAAGAGATTCCAACGGTAAGGTGGTAAGAAAAGAGACCAGATACTAGTGAACAGAATGTAAGGTATCACTGTGTTTTCCCTGTTTCAAAAACTATCATACAAAGACTAATATTTAACTTTTTGACATTTCCCTGAGATAACTTGGGATAGTAAACTAATAATAAAACTAAATGCTTTTACACCTGTATAAAAAATTAAACCTAAAACCTACATATTTTGTTTTGTTTCGATTTCTTGTATTTATTAATAAAATGAAAAATGTGATGATTTTTTAAATTTTTTTCCAAAAAAATTTGTAAGCAAAGCGGTTAATGGTCGTAGGTATGAAACATTAGTCAAAGTGCACATAATTGAATAAATACAGCTGTGCAAAACAGAATATTTAAATATTATCATAACTCTCATTTCATTTACGATTATATATTATTCTTCTCACTGTTAATCCAATCATTTTGCTATGTAAAATTTAAATTTGGTACTTAAAGCCTGCTTTTTGTAGAGAGAAGTTAATGCAAGTTGGAACTTTATTATTTAATAAAGAACTAATTAAAACGATCTCTTCTTGAAGATAATTCACTTCAGTGTAATATTTTTTAATTGTATGAATTTGATTTATAATAGTGTTATGAATATTTTTTCTGAAGTATTAAATTCCCAGTGAAATTATTGAATAGTTTTAAAATTGAGGTCTCTTCTTTTATGATAAAAATTTATATTTTTGAAATCAAAAATATGTAAATATAAATAGTTAATTTCTTTTGGAATAGTATTAGTTTTTTTTAAAAAAAAAAAAATTAAACTATTTGGGTAAATATTGTGTTTTTCTATTTTCCGGAAGTTATTGATTGCAGTGATGTCATCAGTATATCTAAAAGTAATACTGAAGAAAATTAAATTTTACCCCCTTACTTAATAGATTTTTGGGAACTATATTGTTTGGTCAAAGGGTAAGTGCTGTGAACAGAAGTGGGGAATGAGAGTGCTTATATTGTATGTAACTGTTAAAAAGTACACAATTAAGGTGATTTTTCCAGTCCCCGCCCATCCTCAGAAATAATTGAAAAAATTTCAGGGAAAAGTTTAATGAGTGAAACTAGAACATTATAAATCTCTGCAAGTGCAGGAGAGGGTAAATATTTTCTAAATCTTAATTTATTTCTTTAATTTCCAAATTTTAAGAGTAGAAAGAACAGGGATGTTATTATTTATAATCCATTTGTATTGATGCTTTTTACTGGCTGATTCAAAATTAGTTGCACAGATTTTTTAAGTTGTAGAGCAAAAATATTGTCTATTGCTTTTTTGTCATTTTTAGTACCATTAGCTATAAAATAGAATTTGAATGAATTTTTATAAAATTTTAGCAAGGCGTAAAGGTTAGAAAATTTGTTGCAGTCAGATTTGACTGAAATTTTAAGTATCTGGGGAAAAGCTTTACTTTTATTCATAATAGAAGTCTCTAGGAAGGCGGGAGAAATACCTTATATACTTCTTCTTTTAAAGGGCGATTGGGGTTTTTAGGAGACCTAGTCGCCAAATCCTGGGTGTGGAGAGTCATCATCCACAACCCTTTTAGTTTGGGCACCATTGTAGAGACATTAGGTTAATTGGAAAAGCCAGGGTGATGAAAAATTAGCAAACGCCAGGAATTGAACCACGGACCTCTGGAATACCGGCCCAGCGTGTAGAGCCACTACACAACAAAGGCATGCTAGGAAGGCAGGAGAAATACCTTATAAAGTAATATTGGAATTTGTTTTTTTTTTTTGGTAAGTAATTGTCTGTTGAAGTTCTGATTCAATTAGCGAACTACAAAATTTCTTTCAAATATATATATGTGTGTCTGCGTGTGTATTGGGTCATCTAAAAAATTCTGTGGTTTTTTTTCTTTTTTTTAATGATAAATACGAATGAAGCAGTGCAAAAACATAATAAGACTTCATTGAATCACATAAACCCTATTTTCTTTTGGAAACTGGAATATTCCTTTTTCAAAAAAGTCATTTGATCTATCCATAAAAAAGTTATTGGAATGCTCTTTGACACTTTCCAAACTAAAGAACTCCAGATTATTCAGAGAATACTGAAGCGACTTGACAAAATGAAAATCTGAGTGAGTAAGGCCTAATGAATATCTTAGCCATATTAATCAAATTTATTCATTCACCTCTGTCTGGCATTCATCGAAACGTGGGGGGCTGAGCATTATCATAATAGAAGGGAACACTTTGACAATTTGTAAATTACCAATACTTTCAGGAAAGAACTTCATTTGTAATTTGAAGTATAATTGACGAAAAGAGATTGATTTGTAAATGATGCTTACAGAATTTTAAGTGTATCTTTTTCCTGTCAAAATACTGGGAATTTTTTTCAATTACTGTGCCAGCATTTATTTCCAGTGCATTAACATTTTCAACAATAGGTTGTTCAATTGTAGCCTTGATATTTTTTAGTATTTCAGTTACTTTATGAATGTTTCTGATTGCAATATTGAGTTCCATGCCTTCTTTTTGCACATCCTTCCTACTTTACAGTTAAAATATTGATACTTGATTTTGTGCATGTCAAATTTCTCTCTGTTCTAGTTAAAGATGTGCACCTTTTGAGTTTTAAATAACTGCAGCATCTCCTGATTTAGAATCATTTATTATAAAAATCAGTTTTAAATTTTGTATTCTAATAAATACTGACATCTGGTCATTTTTATTTGTTTGTTTTCGTATTTTAGTGGTATATTTAAACTCGAAGATTGTACTGTAATCGCTTTTGTACTATTAGTTTTTTATTTTTATTACAGTTGAATTGAGTCTGTCTGTGTAATATGAGCAGATTTCTGAGATATATAAAGCATGAATGAGGAGACTGATGCACCAGTACTGGATGGAAGCTTTTAATTGCTTTTTAAGTTTTTACTGTATATTATAGAACATCTGTTAGAAAGAATTTTGTTGTGCTTCACACTATTTAACCACAAAAAAATATAAATGTTCATCAGATAATGACAAATGATTTGATGGTTATCTCTTAACTACTTCTGAAGGGAATATATTTTTATTTTGCCAGATTAACTTAGATGTTGCTATTCAGTAGCATTTCCAGACAGATCATTTGCCTTGTTGACATAAACAGTTTATTTTCCTTGTATGTATTTCCTTATTTTGTCCATTGCTCATTAAACAGGGTTCGTACAGTCCTTAAAAATCCTTAAATTTTTATAAATCGATTTTTGGTCCTTAAAAGTCCTTAATTTTTGTCAAAACCAGTAGAAGGTCCTTAATTTTAAATCATTTAATCATCTCTCTCTGTGTACGACTGCCATTTTTGAGTGATGCATTTGGAGGAATATTTTGCAATTCACGGACATATATATTTATCTTTGATGGGTTCATGGGTTATATGTTTCGATTTTTAATATAAATCATGGGATACTGAGTTCTAAGCAAGAAGTGAAACATAAGCATTTCGAAATAATTTTGGCTAATAAAGAGCTCTGAAACAACTTTTCGCTTTTGGGGTTGGAATTCTTTTATTAAAGGTCTAAATTTGACAACTTTAACTTCGGCGATTTAAGATCAGTTTCTAGAGAAAATTTTTAATTCCGAGATCTGAGAAGTTTTGGCAATTTTTTTAAAAGATAACATTGATAATTCATTAAAACCGTGGTAATATAGAGATCGTATTTAAAAAGAAACCTTAAAAATTTTTATTTTGCTGGCATTATAAAATTTCATTTTGGCAACTTATTAACAATATTTTAAATCTGAAAAAACAATGTATATAGCTATAAAGCCTAAATACAAAAAGGCTAGTAAAAAAGTAGCTGTTAATTAATAATGTCTTCTTTGTAATTGTTCACAGTAAGCGTTTTTCCCATGTAATTCTCAGATTCTTCAAAATCTCAGAATTCATCAGTTTTCTCCAGAAAATTAATTTTACACACTTTTCCTTTCCCCCCCCCAAAATATTTCTGGCTGTGATGTTACAGGAATGGTTGGATATTCTTCTTTAGGTTTGACATGCAGCATGGAAGGTTTAGAAGGCGGAAGGCAAGATTAGACCTACGATTCTAGAAGATTCGAGAATATGTGACAAATGAAAAATTCTCCATGATATCAACATATCAACACTAATGGATGCATTTACAGAAAGTTGCGATAATTTCTTACGTTCTGGAGAATGTCTGGAAAACATAATATTTGAATGTTTACTCCGATACTAGATCTTTTTTCTTACATGTTTATCTTCTTTATTTCTATGCTTTCACTAGACAAAAGTGGAAAATCAAAATTGCTTATAATCTATCACTTGGGCAGGCATTATAGAAAGAGATTTTTTTATTAATAAATTGAAAACTTACAATTTAAAAGATTCATCTAATGTGTCTAAAGCATCGTACACAGAGCTGGTGCTATGCATTTTCCCAGCTTATGCAATCTCTTTGTATCCTAAATTCTGCTGCCTAGTGCCTATAAAGCTGCTTCCAATGCCTGCTCTAAATTCTAAAAGTTTTGCCATTTCTGATTTTGTTGTTCTGTGTGTCACTAAATTCTAAAAATTCTGCCACACCTGCTCTGTAACCGGCCTTTACCATATATATTTCATATTTCCCTGAATGTTCATATTACTAAGAAATAAAATTATCCCTCTTTTTCTCTGTACATTCTAAAGCATTAGTGTTTTTAGAATGGCAAAATCCTTAATTAAGTCCAAAAATCTAAAATTAAAAGGAAACACTGAAGAAAGAAACTGAATGCATAAAAAAATTATTCTTCAAGATATGCAGTATTATTATGTAAATTACCCAATGTTTATCATTTCAGCTTTTACTATGAACTTCCCATTTCTGTTTCTCATATGATAGAGTTACTGAGCCAGATTAAATTAAAATTAAATGTATTATCTTTGACCACTAATCCCCATTTTTTAGTTTGAATTTGACGTTCTTGTTTAATTTGTCACCGTG